GGACATCACATGGAGTATTTAGTAAAGAAAGTTAGATAGAATGCTGTGATTTCCCTTCATGTTTGTAAATGCTTTTGCGTTTTTTCCAGAGAATGACATAGAAATGCATAATCTTATAATCGTTATCATTTGGGGGGCTCTCATTGTAAGTATTATATTATCATTTCTGTGAAAGTAGTAATTATTTAAAAATTATTCTTCTTCTTATTTTCTCGGCACAGGGCACATGTGCTCAAAGTAAAGAAATAGAGACAGTGAGAGAGGGAAATAGGTAAATCACTCCTCAGGGGGATGGCCATGCTGCCATCTCTTCTCCTCCATTTCCCTCTCATAACTTTGGGCACACACAGCACATGAGCCAAACATGATTTTCAGGCTGCTGGGTCTGGGACTCAAACTATAGTCTGTCATACAGTAGTCCAGTGCCTTTACCACCACTTCACCTGGCCCCTTATTCAAATTTTTATCAACTGAAAACATGAACACAGATTTGCATAAAGTAGAACTTAAGTTGAATAGCAGAAATAATTTAGTTATATAATAAAAATTTGAGACCATGCTTATCTGCTTGAGCCTGAAATGTACCCTGAAAGAAAATGACATATTAAATGGATAAAGTGGGTTGACTTTCTAAAGTGGGTTGAGTTTCCTATAGAATTAAAGGTGAGAGAGAGAGAGAGAGAGGGAGAGAGAGAGAGAGAGAGAGAGAGAGGGAGATGAGAGAGCTAGAGACATCATTGGACGGAAGGATGGAATCCTATTTAGATGGGAGTGTGTGAATATGTGTGTGTGTGAACCTGGGTGCATATTTGGCATAGCAAGACAGTCTAGGCTCTAAATCCCCCTTGTAATTGTAGCTGCAGTTCAGTGAAGCCAAAAGGCTTAGTTCCCTATGATACAAAGTGCTTACCCTTGTTCTGGAAGTTTAATTTCCTGAAGGGACAATCTTTTCTCTATCTTCTTGTATTCTGGTGTGTCTTTGAGGGTTCTAGTATATTCCTTTCCTTAACAGTCTTTTGGGACTCCTCCACAGCCCAGAAATAAGTACCTCAGTCTCCAAAGGCTCTATTTGTGTTTATCTGAAAATTTGAAGATGACATATTAATTAGGATGTCATGAACTGAGTATTATCTTATTAAAAGTTGATTCTTAATGGGTCTAAGCCACAGTATAATAATTAAGTGTGTGCCAAATGATGTTCTCTACAGTCCTAACTACACTTCCTTATCTTATCTATCAGGAAAATCTTATCCATTCTTGCTGTTATGGGCTAATTTGTACCCACCATAAAGTTCATATTGGGAGCACTAATCCCCAGTTCTCCAGAATGTAGCTATGGTGTTATATAGGGCCTATAAAAAGGTAATTAAGATCAAATGAGGAGCTTTTAACGGGCCTACATTTAATTTATGGTTTCTTCACAGAGAGGAAATTGAGGTACACAAAGAGACAAGTATGTGTGCACACGAAGAAAAAGACCATGTGAGAATGCAGCAAGACAATGAGTATCTACAAGCCAAGGAGAGAGGGTTCAGAAGTAACCAACTCTGCTGGTACTCTGAACTTGGACTCGTAGCCTCCAGAACTGAGAAAATAAATGTTTGTTGTTTAAGCCATTCTGTGGCATTTTGTTATGGCACCGTTAGCAAACTAATACACTTGGTTGCTGCCAGTGAGGTCTTTATGTTGGTGCAATCTCATGTTTTATATGTAAAACACCACCAAAGTTAGAACATGTGATACATCACAATATTCCCTAATTTTTAGATTAACTCATATGTAAAATTGTACAAGCAAAGTAATACAAATATGCATAGGACCTTAAATGTCGTCTGTAATTGCTTCACCCAGTGGAAGTTATCACTGAATATTCTCTTAGATGTGAAGTTTTTAAAATCTATTTTTCCATTTCCTTGTTTATTGATTTCTGTCTCCTTTTCTATCTACCTCTCCATTTCTGTCTATTTCAGACAACTGCTGTACTTTCCCAAGACTCTTCAATAGTCAGTGGAGTATTCATTTGATACAATCTGTTCTTGTTGAGTTACAGAAGGCAAAGAAATGAGAATCACAGAAGAAAAAATAAACTCATTTCCAGGAGCATTTTTACTGGGGATTTCAAAGAGTTTGTAGAAAAATGGAATTAAGCCATAAGGTTTTTTTGGTGCAGAAACAATTTTTAAATCTATGGATGATTTCTTTATAATACAGATTTTTGTCATGAATTTACTGAGAACCCCTTATATAGACAATATTTTTCTTAGAATGTCCTAATGTTTTCTTCACAAATAGGGTAAATTCTTTTAAAATTTGTATATATCCTGCTGCAGGGCCTATATGTTCTCCAGAGAGATTCACAAAGACAGAGAGAGAAAAAGAGGGAGAAAGCACTCAAGCACTCCCCGGTGGGGAATGGTCATGGCACAATCTCATCTCCATTTCTCTAAGCTGTGGGAATCTGGGCATGTAGACACATGCTATCATCATGTTCTTCAAAACTCTTGGGTCAAGATTTTAACTGTACAGATGGCTATGCGAAATCTGCCTCCCTTAAACACTAGGCCCTGGTGATGTCCTTGGGCAAATATTTTTAGAGATGGAAATTCTAGGTTTATATTCTTGTTTTCCCACCAACAAAACAATTTGAAGGAAGTCGTTTAGTCATTTTAAATCTATATTTAGTTACAGGACTTTCATTGATACATTGAGTATTATAGGCAAAGACAAGTTATAAACTGTCAAGTAGAAGGTGCTTGCACTCACTAGAGACACAGACAGACAGGAAAAGACAGGGAGAGAGAGAAAGCAAGACCAGTGGGGAATGGTCACTCTGCAATCCTTTCTCCTCATTTTTTCATCCTGTGTGATTTAGGGCAGTTACATACATACTTTCATCATATCTTTTGAGCTGACAAGTATGGGATTTGAACCTCAGGCAGCTGAATAGAACCCTGTTTCTTTATCCACTAGGCTACAGTGTCAACCCCATTTTTTAACAATCTAATTTTTTTAAACCTCAGACTGTCAGTAATGTTATAGACTATTTAAAGCCAATGGACATACAAAGAAGATACAGAAGATGAAACATACGGGATGATAGAACATATCTGGAAAATCATACATTTAATAAGTGTCAAGTTTTCTTTCCTTCTTTTTCTTTTCTTTTCATTTCTTTACCTTTCTTTCTTTCTTCTTTCTTTCTTTCTTTTTCTTGTTTCTTTTTGTTTTTAGACTTTTGATACTGGGTATGTGCACTCACCAGAGAAAGACAAAAAGAGGAAACATGAGAAGTCATCTCCCATGAGGGATGGCAACACCACAATCCCTTCTCTTTCAGTTTCTTCTCAGGATTTCAGACCTACATGCACATGTACCCAGCATGATTTTAAAGCCACTGGGTCTGTGAGTTGAACTGCATTCAGCCATGTGGGAGTCTACCATGCCATTGCTTGCACCTATAAAGTGTAACATTTAAAAATATTTAGGAACTTGAACCACTAAATAGCAAAAATAAATAAATAAATAAATAAATAAATAAATAAATAAATAAATAAAATAACCTTATTTAGAAATGAACAAAAGGTCTAATGAACATTTTTTAAAAGACCTAAAAATGATCAACAAATGCTTAAAATCAATAATTATAGGGAAAATGAAAATTGAAACTGCGATGAAGTGTTGTCTTATGTCTGTTAAAATGGTCATTAGTAACAGATCAGGTGGCACAGTGGTAAAATGTGACACTCTGTAAGACAACCTCTCACAAGATTCCTGTTTAAGACCAAAGACTCCCTGAGTATGCTGGGTATGCACTTGCTCAAGATCTAGGGCTGGCCAAAGGCTGGTAGATGATCATGGTATTGAGACTTGTTGGGCTGTCATCTTTTTGTGTCTCATGATAAATGAAAACATAAATAAAAACATTAAAATGGCTTCTATCAATACAAAAATTAATAAATGTTGGCCTAGATGTGGAGAAAATCTTTAATACACTGTTGATGAGAAAGTATGTTAGCATAACCATATGGAAAGCAATGTGGAGGTTCCACAAAAAATTAAAAATATTATAAAACTACCCATCTAGCAATCTCACTTCGGGGTAATATCCAAAGAAGATAAAATCAGTATGTTGAAAAGATATCTATAATCTCACACTCATTATTCATAATAGCCAAGGTTTAGAGTCTACCAGTTTCTATCAGTAGGTGAATGGATATATTGATATAGATACATAATGGAATATTGTTCATCCTTAAGAAAGAAGGATATCTTGCATTTGGAACAATATAGGTGATCTTAGAGGATATAATGGTATGCAAAATAAGTCAGGCATAAAAAGACACATCTTGCATGGTCTTGCATGTATGTGGAGTCAATAAAATTGAAATAACAGAACTAGAGAATAGAATTTTGCTTGCCAGGAGCTTGAGGGGAATAGATGGGAGAAATAGGGAGACATTAGTTAAAAAGATCAAAGTTTCAATTATGCAGGATGAATGAATTCTGTAGATCTAATGTATTACAAGCTATGGTTAATAATAATATACTGTACACTTAAAATTTGCAAAGAGAATACATTTTAATATTCTATCACACACACACACACACACACACACATGAAATGATAACAGATCACAGTGGTAAGTATGTCAATTATCTTTATTGTGGTAATCATTTGACAACATATATGTATACAAAATCATGTTGTACACTTTAAATATATACACTATTAACTTGTCAATTATACCTTAATAAATCTGGAAAAAAATATAATATATGCTAGTACAAATAACGGTTTTTATAAATCAAACCTTCACTTATTTTTTTTAAAAAATATACATATTAGTGTCCATTTAAAAAGAAAAATTTAGACTTGTCTTTTTACATCATTTTAATAAATAATTTGCTAAATTTATTTACTTATGACAATATAGACTGAAAGCAGTAACATGGATATAATCATAAAAGGAAAAGAACCATTATTTAAAAAGTATTTTAATTTAAGAAAATCTTGCTCTACCTAACATTTTCCTCAGGGCATCTTTGACATCCTTATTTCTTATGCTATAAATCAAGGGGTTCAACATAGGAATCACCACAGTGTAGAACACTGACACCACTTTATCCCTTTCCAGAGCATAGCTAGTGCTTGGTCGAGAGTAAATGAAGAGAATTGTCCCGTAGTACAAGGTGACAGCTGTTAAGTGGGATCCACAAGTGGAGAAGGCCTTGCGGCGTCCCTCCACAGAACGTATCTTCAAGATGGTGGCAATGATGAAGAGGTAGGAGGTAAGAACAAGAATTATAGGAGTGATGACATTGGAGGCCAGTAGGAAGTACATCACAACCACGTAGCTCTCTGTCACATCGCATGCTAACTTTACAAGTGGCGGCAAGTCACAGAAGAAATGGTCTATGATATTACTGTCACAGAAGCTCAGAGTAAATGTCTCACTGGTGATGATAGCTGAGTTTATGAAGCCACCAAGGAATGAAGCTACAACAAGACTGACATACAATCTAGAGGACATAACTTGGGAATAAAGCAGAGGGCTGCAGATAGCCACATAGCGGTCATAAGCCATGGTGGCCAAGAGGTAACACTCACTATAGTCCAGTCCAGCAGCAAAGAAGAACTGAGCCAGGCAGCCAGCAAAGGAGATGCTTTTGTCATCAGAGACGCAGGTCATCAGGATTTTGGGAGCATAGACAGAAGAATACCAGAGATCTAGAAATGACAAGTTCCCGATGAAGAAATACATGGGTGTGTGGAGCCGAGTATCAGCGCAGATCAGAGAAATCAGCGTGATGTTCCCTAGGAGACTGATGATGTAAATGATGAGAAAGATGAAAAAGAGCACTTTCTGTAACCCCAAGTCCGCTGTGAACCCTAAAAGGATGAACTCCTTCACTTTGGTGAAATTTTCTTTCTCCATTGATTCTGGGAATATATGTTTCTAGATTTTTCCTTTCTGTGAAAAGATTATTACATATTTCATGACTTACAATATCACTGTTTGTTTCCTCCATTGTTTTCTCAACCGGCATAATTGAAAATTCAACTGACTCATGTATTTTTCTTATGCAAAGTGTTTATGCTAAACAAGGTATTATTCATTTTGATTAGCTATAAAATCCATTCTGCACTGCATTAAGAAGTCAGTTACATGTACATAATAATGTATTTTGCTTTACATTTCAAATTTTTTCTCCTATTTGTGAGGGAGTGATTTGTGTATCTTCGCTCCTATCTGCACTTGGGGTTCTTGGACATCACATGGAGTATTTAGTAAAGAAAGTTAGATAGAATGCTGTGATTTCCCTTCATGTTTGTAAATGCTTTTGCGTTTTTTCCAGAGAATGACATAGAAATGCATAATCTTATAATCGTTATCATTTGGGGGGCTCTCATTGTAAGTATTATATTATCATTTCTGTGAAAGTAGTAATTATTTAAAAATTATTCTTCTTCTTATTTTCTCGGCACAGGGCACATGTGCTCAAAGTAAAGAAATAGAGACAGTGAGAGAGGGAAATAGGTAAATCACTCCTCAGGGGGATGGCCATGCTGCCATCTCTTCTCCTCCATTTCCCTCTCATAACTTTGGGCACACACAGCACATGAGCCAAACATGATTTTCAGGCTGCTGGGTCTGGGACTCAAACTATAGTCTGTCATACAGTAGTCCAGTGCCTTTACCACCACTTCACCTGGCCCCTTATTCAAATTTTTATCAACTGAAAACATGAACACAGATTTGCATAAAGTAGAACTTAAGTTGAATAGCAGAAATAATTTAGTTATATAATAAAAATTTGAGACCATGCTTATCTGCTTGAGCCTGAAATGTACCCTGAAAGAAAATGACATATTAAATGGATAAAGTGGGTTGACTTTCTAAAGTGGGTTGAGTTTCCTATAGAATTAAAGGTGAGAGAGAGAGAGAGAGAGGGAGAGAGAGAGAGAGAGAGAGAGAGAGAGAGAGAGAGAGAGAGAGAGAGAGAACTAAACTAAAGTGGCTGAACTACATGGTTTGGGGTTTTGTAGACTGAATGATAGCTCACAAAATTATTCAATGTCTCATCTCTGGAACCTACAAATTGTATTTCATGTGGGAAATGAGTCAGTTAAAAATCTGGAGATAAAGATGTTATCAATCACAAGAATTCTTATAAGAGGAAGGCAGAATCAAATTTGACTACCAACAGAAGAGAAGGTAGCCATGTCACGCTGAGAGCAAAACAAGTTATAAAGCCAACCAATGGGTGCCAGCAGACATAAGAAAGTAGATGAGGAACGAAGAGTTTCTGGAGAGAGTTTGACCCTCCAAAGATGTTGTTATCTTTTTTTTGGACTAGTGATACTGAATTTAGATCTCTGGCCTCCAGAACTGTGAGAGAACGAATTCCTGTTGTTGCAAGCCACCTAGCTTGTGGTATTTCATAACAGCTACAGTAACCTGGTACAGGAAGCTGTGGAGCACAACTCAGAGTTCTCCTTCCTTCAGAGGTGGAAGAAGAAGACAGGGCTCTTGCTAGCTATATGGGAAGTGCCATCTCTGCTTGTTATGTTCCAAATCAGAGGGCCTCTATTACAAAGTGTTGCAATTAAAGAAGGGTTAAGTATGATTGTCAGGTTTCCGGACTGGTAGGGGATAGAATGTTTCTGCTAGTAGATGTGAGGATTTTTTTTTTAAATCTCTTATGCTTGAAAGAACACACACATACATGCACACCCACAAAACAACTACTTAAATTTGGCTATTATGCTAGAGCATGGACTTAAAATTGACCTAGAAAAATAAAGCATTGCTTTCTTGGTACTACTTTTATTTAGTGAGAGGCAATTTCATTCCACAACTGTGGTAAGAATTTATAATTTTTATTTTTTTCAAATAAATATCAATGCTATAGTTTTTGGTAAAATATGTTCTTCTTAATTAGTAAAAGAAGACTGGAATATATGACTTTTTAACTATGTCAGTATATCACGGTTGCTAGACACTAAGACATTTTTAACAAAACCTATTCCTTGAAGCAGTTTAGGAATAAGAATTAGGAGATCTTGGTTGTGATCTGAATTTACCAATTTAAAATAAAATGACCTCTTCCGGAACTATTTTTTCACCAACCTTTTTTGCTTCAGTTGCACCTAAGAGTACACAAATGTGAGAAAGGTTTTTGAAAATGAGAAGTTAAAATTATGCCTCATATTCTATGTAATTTCAAGAAATTAATCTAGATTATCTTTGTCTCAGAAATATTTACCTCTAAGACTTCCAAATGTACCTATGCTATGACTCAGGTGTTTCATGTGTTCTCATTCATTATCTGTTGCTATTTAATATAGAGACATTTACTCAAGCTGGTTACTTGGTGGAACTGTTTTCAAAATTAAATTAGAAATAATTTTTATTATTTATTTATTCTTTTTTTTTGGAGAGGTTTTTGCTATAGGGTGCACGCACTTGCCAGAAAGTCAGAGAGAGTTGGAGAGATAGAAAGTGAGAAATCACCCCCAGGGGAAATGGCCATGCCACAATCCCTTCTCCTCCATTCTCCTCTCGGGATCTTGGGCACGCACGCACATGTGCCCAGCATGAATTTTAAGTTGCTTGGTTTGGGGTTTGAACCACAGTCAACTACATGGGAGTCCAGTGACATAGCCATTACGATAACTGATGGCACCAAAATAATTTTTATCTGAGAGAGAGATTTTTGCTATAGAGTGCATGCACTTGCCAGAGAGACAGAGAGATAGAAAGAGAAATCACTCCCCACACAGAATGGTCACTCCACTGTCCCTTCTCCTCCACTCTCTTCTTGGAATCTTGGGCACGCACGCACATGTGCCCAGCATGAATTTTAAGTTGCTTGGTTTGGGGTTTGAACCACAGTCAACTACATGGGAGTCTAGCAATGTAAACATTATGCCATCAGCTGGTCTCCCAGAAATAAAATTTGAAGACATTTCTTTCTTTGCTTGTCTTGGTTTTATCTACAGTTATTACAGTATACAATAAACATAAGATTGAATGCATACATATGTAAATATATGATTCAAGTATTTCACAAATAACAAGGCTAAAGGTGACTTAGTGTGGAGAAAAAGTAAAAGAAAATATTTTAATTTAAACGAATGTGAAAAGAAAAAAAAAAACAAGAACTGCACACATAATGGAGGAAGGGACAAAACCTACTGCAGACAGCATAATCCTACCTGCTGCTTTTTGCGGGCCACAATTTTGACTTGAAATTTTCTAGGAACCAATGACTTCCATTAGCAACTTCCAAAAGACAAGGAAACTAACCAACTATTCTATAATATATTACATTCTTGATACTAACTTTGATGTAATTTCTCCCACGTTTCCTAGTAAAGAGAATAAATTAAATTGAATGCATAATATATTGAAGAATCTTCTTGTGTATTTGCGGACACATAATGTGAGAGTGTGAGGTTCCATTCTTCAAAGACTTAAGCTGGCTGCTTGCCTTATTGGATTCTATAGGTGTGCTGAGAAACTTTCTCCCCACAAACCTTTCTCATCCCCATATAACAACTCTTCACAAAGAGCGTTTTTAAGAAGTAAATGCCTGTGGGAGCTGTCACATGTAAGGAGCTGATTTCTTAGCAGTTTTTTCAGTCTTCTCCCAATTTAACACACTGTTGTCTCTAGCATTCACTTTGGTAGTTCAATAATATACTAATTGATTTATATATTAATTATAAATACACAGTGTGATCTCAAATCCATATACATACAAAAAACACATGAGTTTTCATAAAGCTTAGAATGTACGTTGTGAAAAAGAAAAATAGATATTTTAAAGTTTCTATACCAAAATAAACTTATATTTCAGTTCTATTTTCCACAAATCTTTAAGTTACATTGTATGTATATAATCATTTCTCTCCTCATAAAGAGCTTATGCCATGCACTGTTAATATAGGAAAAATACTAAAACCATGAAAATATTAATCCTAAGTAATATTATTACATGTTTATCTACTCTAAAATCTAATATGGTCCCTCGCATATGTAATAACAAGAGAGAAAACAGGGAGATATACCTAAAGTAGGACTTATAAGAGTAAAAGCAGTCATCAAGTACACAGATAATTTCCTCTTATCCAATAGAAGAAAATAAAGCCTGAATAGAATGGACACTTCAATTTTCTTGATCAAGTGTAAATAAAGGAAAACCTTAAGTAGAATTATTTTACGGTTTCATCATACTCAGGATTGTTTTGTCTTTTGTCCATATTGTGATCACTGTGTTCTTCCTTCTGGCTAACTAAATACAATACTTGCCTTCATCAACATAAGTAGACACTTCATCTGAATTTCCTCTACTGACCACAATGTCTCATATTATATTAGAACAAAAAGTACCTCTACTCCACAAGAATTTTCTTTCCATTGGTAGCAATACCGGGAGATCATATAACCTTGAATATTCCTTTGGGATTTGCTGCAAAAGGCAAAGAGGATAGTAATGTGCTATTCTGGTGCCGTGTGACCAATTACAATGTTCAGTTATTTATCTGGAATGAGATGGCTCATTCCTCATGAATATAATTAATCCAATTAACCTAGAAGAAAACATAATCTTTTTGATTTGTAAAATTTATTTAAGTATTTGATATTATAAAATTAAAAATTGGTGTGAAGGATTTAGCAGTAGATTACTCTTCAAATAGTAGCTGTTTAAGTATTATTACAGTCCAAAATAATAATGACAATAATAAGGATAAGAAAAAAACATAATTTTAGTCCTGAAATGTGTTATATATCACTCAGAGTGATAGATTTGGCCCATTTAACAAACAATGGAAATTGAGAGAGAGAATTTATTAATTATCCCAAAGACATAGGATTAGAGAAAACATTATCCTATATCAGATTATGAGACTATCGGTTATAATCTAAAG